TGTAAAAGACAATATCCAGAGTCATGAAGACTTTCCAAGAGATGCAGACCAGCTTAAAATAGCCTTGAAGAAGGAGTGGGTGAGGGTAGATAAGTCAGTGTTTTGGGTGGTTGTGGACTCAATGCCATGAAGAATTGAGGAAGTGGCTGCTGCAGAGGGTCATTCATGCAGATATTAAATAAAAAAAAAAAAATTTTAATATTTTGTAATGAAAAAATAAAATAAATAAAATTTTTATTTTTACTTTATAAATCGGGCGTTACTTTTGATGGCTACTGTACATAAATATGTACGTATATATATATACATTTATAATTTAAGGTTGGCCCAGGTAATAGCCGGGATCTCTGTTAAATTTAAAATTTAACAGAGATCCCGTTAATAATAAAAACAATTCGCATCTAATATTGACTATATTGACTAATGCCCCGCTAACGCGGAGCATTAGTCAATATAGTCAATATTAGATGCGAATTGACCGTGACGAAGAATAGCGCTTTAGTATTAGAGCGCACAACAACGTTGTTGTTGATTATAAATTGAGGGTTCTAATTTACGTGTTACGAAATTTTGGTAAGGGTGACATTAAAAAATTTTATCAGAGGCGTATTTTTGTAATCTATATTAATATGAATTCCCCTTGTACCACTAAAATCATATGAAAAATGACCGACATACCGTCTACTTAATATTAATAGGGGTCGTCTAAAGCGGGCAATTTCACGTGATCACAGCCAATCAAATTATAGAATTTTGATGATCATCGGCGAAGCAAAGCAAGAAACAAAAACGAAAAACCCAAAAAATAGAAAAAACGGCAGTCTAAACCTACCTCAGGTAGGTTAAGTAAAAATGTCGGCGAGGCAATTTTGCTTATATATAACAATCTAAAACCTAACCTAACCTTAATATAAGATTACCCTAACCCTAAAGTTAATTGAATATAAGGTCACGTGAATTTGCTCCCGCTTTAGACGTCCACCCTTAATAGCAATTCTTTAAATTTGTGGATATGCACTATATTTTAAGATGTCCGAATAAAAATTTAATTTATTCATAAAAGTAAATGTGGATTATGCACTGTTTATTTAGTTATAACTTTAGGCAGCTGAAGTTGCACCTGCTACGTACGTACAAGATGATTTAATTTTAGGGATAATTTCAGTTCAGGCGGGTGTCAACTTCAGACTCGACATAATATAAATTACTACATAGAAAGTTACCATAAATTTTGTTTAAATAATGAATGTCTTAGAAAGAATTAATATTTTAGCAAATATGAATTTTTTAAAAAGAATAAATAAAAGTATTTCGATTTATTTTTTTGAATTAGAGAAAGGTATCATCAGATTTGTTTTAAAAATAACGAATTTTTTAGAAAAAATGAATTTTTTAGAAAGAATGGATTTTTTAGAAAAAATGAATTTTGTAAAAAGAATGAATTTTTTAGAAAGCATAAAAAGTATTTCTATTTATTTTTATGAACTCGGACATAATTATCAAAGTGGTATTGGAGTCAAAAAGAATAAAAAAAAAGCATTTGAATATTATCAAATTTCTGCCGACATGGCAATGACAATGGAACATTTAAAGTCGGTTATTGTTATGAATATGGAATTGGAATTAAAAAAGACGAAAAAAAAGCGTTCGAATACTATCAGCAAGCTGCTGAAATGGGAAATGCTAGCGCAATAAATAATATTGGTCATTGTTACGAATACGGAATTGGAATTAAAAAAGACGAACAAGGAGCGTTCGAATACTATCAGCAAGCTGCTGAAATGGGAAATGCTAGCGCAATAAATAATATTGGTCATTGTTACGAATACGGAATTGGAGTTGAAAAGGATAATCTCAGGGCACTCAAATGCTATAAACGATCTGCTGACATGGGAAACGCTAACGGAACATTTAATGTTGGTTGCTACTATGAATATTGGACGGATGTTGGATTTGTCCCAATTGGATTTGAAAATGACAAATGCAAGGCATTCAAATACTATAAAAAATCTGCTGACATGGGAAATGCTAACGGAACATTTAAAGTTAGTTGCTGTTATTTATGTGGAATTGGTGTTGAAAGGGATGAGTGCCGGGCATTTGAATACTGTAAAAAATTTGCTGACATGGGAAATTCTGACGGAGCATTTATTGTTGGTTGCTACTATGAATATGGGATTGGTGTTAAAAAAGATGAAAAAAAAGCGTTCGAATACTATCAAAAAGCTGCTGATATGGGAAATATTAATGGAATATATCAAGTTGGTCAATGTTATGACGATAATATTGGAGTTGAAAAGGATGAATGTAAGGCATTCGAATATTACCAAAGATCTTCAGATATGGGAAATGCTGATGGGACATTTGATGTCGGTTTCTGTTATGAATATGGGATTGGAGTTGGAAAAGACGAAAAAAAAGCGTTCGAATACTATCAAAAAGCTGCTGATATGGGAAATGCTATCGGAATATATAATGTTGGATGTTGTTATGATAATGGAATTGGTGTCAAAAAGGATGAACTTAATGCATTAAAATATTATAGAAAATTTGCTGATATAAGAAATGCTAATGGTACATTTGAAGAGGGTGAGAAAAAAGTAATTAAATACTATCAAAAAGGATTTAAATACTATCAAAAGGCTGCCGGTATGGGAAATTCTAACGCAATATATAATGTCGGTTATTTTTACGATAATAGTATTGGAGTTGAAAAGGATGAATGCAAGGCATTTGAACATTATCAAAAAGCTGCATATATGGGAAATGCTAATGGGGTATTTAAAATCGGTTGCTGTTATGAATATGGAGTTGGAGTAAAAAAAGACGAAAAAAAAGCGGTTGAATACTATCAAAAAGCCGCCGACATGAGGAATTCTGACAGAATATTTAAAGTCGGTTGCTGTTATGAATATGGAATTGGTGTTACAAAGAACGAAATAAAAGCTTTTGAATACTATAAAAAATCGGCTGACAAGGGAAATGCTAACGCAATATATAATATTGGTTGTTGTTATGATAATAAAATCGGAGTTGAAAAGGACAAATGCAGAGCATTCGAATACTATCAAAAATCTGCCAACATGGAAAATGCTGACGGAATATTCAAAGCCGGTTGTTGTTATGAATATGGAACTGGAGTTGAAAAGGACGAGAAAAAAGCGTTTGAATATTATCAAAAAGCTGCTGATATGGGAAATGCTAACGCAATATATAATGTTGGTCGTTGTTATGACAATAAAATTGGCGTTGAAAAGGATGAACCTAAGGCATTTGAATACTATAAAAAATCTGCAGATATTGGGAATGCTAATGGAATGTTTAATGTCGGTTGCTGTTATGAATATGGAACTGGTGTTGTAAAGAATGAGAAAAAAGCGTTCGAATACTATCAAAAGCTGCTGATATGGGAAATGTTAATGCAGTGTATAATGTCGCTTATTGTTATGATAATAATATTGGAATTGAAAAGGACGAATGCAAGGCATTCGAATATTATCAAATTTCTGCCGACATGGGAAATGATAATGGAATATTTAAAGTCGGTTACTGTCATGAATATGGAATTGGAATTAAAAAAGACGAAAAAAAAGCGTTCGAATATTATCAACAAGCTGCTGATATGGGAAATGCTAGCGCAGTAAATAAGATTAAGAAAAAAGCGTTCGCTAGCGCAGTAAATAATACTGGTTGTCGTTACGAATATGGAATTGGAGTTGAAAAAGATGAGAAAAAAGCGCTTGGATGTTATCAAAAAGCTGCTGATATGGGAAATGATAACGCAATATACAATGTTGGTTTTTGTTATGAATATGGAATTGGTGTTGAAAAGGACAAATACATGGCATTCGAATATTATCAAAGATCTGCCGATATGGGAAATGCTGACGGAATATTCAAAGTCGGTTGCTGTTATGAATATGGAGTTGGAGTTGAAAAGGACAAATACATGGCATTCGAATATTATCAAAGATCTGCCGATATGGGAAATGCTGACGGAATATTCAAAGTCGGTTGCTGTTATGAATACGGTACCGGAGTTGATAAGGATGAGAGAAAAGCGTTTAAATATTATCAAAAAGCTGCTGATGTGGGAAATGCTAACGCAATATATAATGTTGGTCGTTGTTATGACAATAGAATTGGCGTTGAAAGGATGAACCTAAGGCATTTGAATACTATAAAAAATCTGCAGATATGGGGAATGCTAATGGAATGTTTAATGTCGGTTGCTGTTATGAATCTGGAACTGGAGTTGATAAAGACGAAAAAAAGGCGTTCAAATACTACAAAAAATCCGCCGACAAATATTATCACCAATATGGAGTTGATTACTCGATTTCTTCAAGTTCATATTCTTTCGGTTCATATTCGCTCAGACAAAGTGGTTCAAGTTGTGACGGGGATTTCAACATTGATAGTGAATTCTTTGATGAAATTAATAGACTCCTTGATGAACTTGATAGTGAAAGTTCTTCCGAGTTTGTTTATTCTTCTAGTGGTTCATCTTCTCACAACCAAAGTGGTTCATATTCTCCTCCCGAACGTCCCAGGCGTCCCAGCCGAAGAGGCTCTCGCAGAGTAAGTGGCTCAAGTTGTGCCGGGGATTTCAATATTGATAGTGAACTCTTTGACTTTGATAAATCTAGTTATGCTGAACTCCTTGATAACATTAATGAACTCTTTGCTTCAGAAAATTTGGAAGAGCATGACAACATGAGTGATGATGCCGAAGGAACATATAAACTTGGTTATTGTTACGAAAATGGTATTGGATGTTTAAAAGATGAATGCAAAGCGTTTGAATATTATCAGAAAGCTGCTGATCTAGGTCATGCTAAAAGTGCATACAATATTGGAGTTTGTTACGAAAATGGTATCGGATGTTTAAAAGATGAATGCAAAGCGTTTGAATATTATCAGAAAGCTGCTGATCTAGGTCATGCTAAAGGAGCCTACAATGTTGGAGTTTGTTGCGAAAATGGAATCGGAGTAGAAAAAGATAAGAGCATGGCCTTTAATTATTTCCTGATATCAGCTAATATGGATAATGCTGATGGTGCATTTAACGTTGGTGTTTGCTATAGAAATGGAATAGGCGTTGAAAAGGACGAATGCAAAGCATTTGAATATTATATGAAATCAGCTGATATGGGCCATATCAAAGGAACGTACAATGTTGGTTATCTTTATTACCATGGAATTGGAGTTAATAAAAATAAACGCGAAGCATTTATTTACTATAAGAAGGCCGCTGAATTAGGTTATGAAAAGGGAATACATAACGTTGGTTATTGCTATCAACATGGAATTGGTGTTGAAAAGATGAATGTAAAGCGTTTGAACATTACTATAAAGCTGCGGATATGGAATTGGTAGTCGGAATGACTCAAGTTGCTCGATGTTATCGAAACGGGATTGGAGTAGATAGAGATTTACCAAAGGCTAACTACTGGTATCAGAGGTAAAAATATATTTGTTAATTCATTCAATATTGTATGCATGTATTTATATAACTGTTTCAATAATTAGAGCGAAAAATGCGATAACAGGTAATTTAAATTATTAATTTTAATTATTAGCGATTTGATATTTAAAGGTATTTTATTTTTTATTAAGACAAATACGAGTATGTGTCTGAAAAGTTAGAAGTTAATGACGATTTAAAAAAGATGTTGATTGAAAACAAATATCAATTGCAATGGATTCCTTACGATGAATTTGTGAATATCAAAAAAATAGGAACAGGTGGATTTGCAACTGTATTCCGCGCACGATGGCTTGATAAGAGTCAACATGTAGATACACTAGTTGCTCTTAAAATATTTGGCTCCAATGATAATGAAGTATTTATTGAAGAATTGAAGGCGTATTGTGAAATTGGAAAAGTAAATTTGTCATTTTTAAAATGTTATGGAATATCAAGAAATGTTTATGGAAACTATATTATTGTTTTAGAATACGCCAAGAAAAAATCTTTGAGTAAAAATCTTTATGATATATCACTGATGGATTGGGAGAAAAAGTTAAAATTATTACATTGCATAACTTCAGATCTTCAAATAATCCATTTTCAAGGATATATTCATCGAGATTTGCATAGCGGCAATGTTTTACAGGATAATTTGCATAGTGCGTATATTTCTGATTTGGGATTATCAATTTCTAATTCTGAAAAAACGAAAAATGGGGTTTTCGGGATTCTACCTTACATTGCGCCGGAAGTTTTGAACGGAAGTCAATATACAACAGCATCAGATATTTATTCGTTTGGAATAATAATGTGGGAAATCTTATATAGAAAGACTGTATTGTATGGCTACAAATTAAGAATGCGGGAACTTCAAATACAAATATGTTGCAACGATTTGCGACCACCTATAAATGAAGAATCGCCTCAATGTTACGTGAATCTGATGAAAGAATGTTGGGATAAGGACCCGGAGAAACGACCATCAGCAAAAGAACTTTGTGAAATTTTCAAGGAATGGCAAGTCAATGCGAATACTATGATGCAATTGAACAGGTCCAAAGCAATACTTGAAAATATCGAAGAAACGTACGCGAGCGTGTTTAATGAAGGAAGCAAGTTTGTTTTTCATACTAAGTCGATTTTAGATATTGAATTGCAAAATTTATCGGTTGATAATTACTGAATAAACTAGAAACATGATGGGAATGGACATATAAATACTAAAAGGCTACCACCTTTTTATTAGGATTTTGTTTTAAATATTCGAAAAAAATTTTTTTTTTGATAACAATGAATCTCTAATGTGCGTACATACGCAAAATATATTTGTCGAAATTGCATTGAAAATAGCGTTGTAAACTTAATTAAATTTAAATACCAAAATAATTTAATTTACAAATATATTCATATCGGCGGATTTTGGGAATTTACTATTAAAAATTCCAATCATAATTAACTGTGAATAACTTTTGATCCACTGG